CACATCTTTGCTCTTCACAACACGAAAGAGGTCCTTTGCAGCAGATTTGCCCAGTGCATCAGACATCATCTGATGTCCTGACTGCTGCTTCCTTTGGCATCGATTGTAGAAACAAGCAATGTGAAGTCTTTGACAAGTTCAATCTTTGCTCCATTTATCATGATGCTACTTATTGGTCAAGTTGTGAGGATTTTTGTTTTCTTTATATTGAGATGTAATCCATACCTCAGACTGTATTCTCCAGTCTTCATCAGTAAGTGTTTCAGATCATCCTCAATTTTGGCAAGCAAAGTTGTGTCGTCAGTGTATCGCAGGTTGTTAATGATGCTTCCTTTAATCCTGATGCCATGTTCTTCTTCATATAGTCCAGCTTCTTGGATTATTTGCTCAGCATACAGACTGAATAAGTATGGTGAAAGGATACAACCCTGACACACTGTCTTCTTGATTTTAAACCTTGTCACCTTGTTCTGTTTGAACAACAGCCTCCTGGTCTATGTTTAGGTTCCTCATGAGTACAATTAAGTGTTCTGGATTTCCCATTTTTCTCAATGTTATCCACAGGTTGTTATGATCCACAAAATCGAATGTTTTTGCATAGTCAATAAAACACAAGTAAACATCTTTCTGGTATTCTTTGCTTTGAGCCAAGATCCATTTGACATCAACAATGATATCCCTCATTCCATCTCCTCTTCTGAATCCAGCTTACATTTCTGGAAGTTCTCTGTCAATATACTGCTGCAACGATTTTTAAATTATCTTCAGTAAGATTTTAATTGCATGTGATTTTAAAGATATTGTTCGATAATTCCCACATTCTGTGGGATCACCTTTCTTTGGAACGGGTACAAATATGGATCTCTTCCAATCAGTTGGCCAGGTAGCTGTCTTCCAAATCTCTTGGCATAGCCGAGTGAGTGCCTCCAGCAAGCATCTGTTTGTTGAAACATCTCAATGGGTATTCCATCAATTCCTGGGGGTTTGATTTTCACCAATTCCTTCAGCACAACTTCAATTTCTTTCTTCAATGCCATTGGTTCTTGAACATATGCCACTTTCTGAAATGGATGAAGATTGACCAGTTCTTTTTGGTACAGTGATTCTGTGTATTCCTTCCATCTTTTTTTGATGCTTTCTGCATCATTCAATATTTTGCCCATAGAATCTTTCAATATTGCAACTCGAGGCTTATTTTTTTTTCCTCAGTTCTTTCAGCTTGAGAAATGCCAAGTGTGTTCTTCACTTTTGGTTTTCTAACTCCAAGTCTTTGCACATTTCATAATAGTAATTGGCTTTGTCTGCTTGAGCTGTTCGTTGAAACCTTCTGTTCAGCTCCTTTATCTTGTTATTTCTTCCAGGGCAAGTTTCAGAGTCTCTTCTGACATCCATTTTGGTCTTTTATTTTTTTCTCATATTTTTAATGACCTCTTGCTTTCTTCATGGATGATGTTGTTGATGTCATCCCATTATTCTTCTGGTTTTCTGTCATTGGTGCTGAATATATCAAATATATTCTTTAGATGGTTTCTAAATCCAGGAGGGATATATTCAAGTTCATATTTTGGTTCTCATGGACTTGTTTTAATTGTCTTTAACTTCAAGTTGAACTTGCATATGAGCAGTTGATGGTCTGTTCCATAATCAGCTCCTAGCCTTGTTTTGGTTGAAGATATTGAGCTTTTCAATTGCTTCTTGCCACAGATGTAATTGGACTCCATCTGGTTAAGTCCACATGAATAGCTGCCAGTTGTGTTGTTGAAATATATTTGCAATGAATAAGTCATTGCTCTTGCAAAATTCTATCATTCACTCTTGAGTGTTACTTCTGTTACAAAGGCCAAATTTCAAATTTTCTTCTTTGTTTCCAACTTTTGCATTCCAGTCACTAGTGGTAATTAACACATCTTGACTGCATGTTTGATCAATTTCAAACTGCAGAAGAAGTTGATAATAATCTTCAATTTCCTTATCTTTGGCTTGGTGGTTGGTGAGTAAATTTGAATAATAGTAGCATTAACTGGTCTTCCTCATAGGTGTACAGATATTATACTATCACTGACAGCATTGTACTTTAGGACAGATCTTGAAATATACTTTGCGGTGATGAATATCAATCCATTCCTCTTCAAATTGTCATCTTGGCATAGTAGATCATATGGTTTTGTGATTCATAATAGCTAAAACTGGTCCATTTCAGCTCACTAATGCCTAGGATATCAATCTTTATGTGTTCCATTTCATTTTTAACAACTTCCAATTTTCCCAGATTCCTACTTCTTACACTCCATGTTCTGTTTATTAATGGATGTTTGCAGCTGTTTCTTCTCAATTTGAGTCATGCTATGTCAGCAAATTTCTGGTAATGAATACCAGAAAGATGTTTACTTGTGTTTTATTGACTATGCAAAGGCATTTGATTGTGTGGATCATGACAAATTATGGATAACATTGAGAAGAATGGGAATTCCCGAACACTTGATTGTACTCATGAGGAACTTGTACCTTGACCAGGAGGCTGTCATTAGAACAGAACAAGGGGACACTACATGGTTTAAAATCAATAAGGGAGTGCATCAGGGTTGTATCCTTTTCCCATATTTATTTGATCTATATGCTGAGCAAATAATCTGAGAAGCTGGACTATATGAAGAAAAACGTGGCATTAGGATTGGAGGAAGAATCATTAACAACCTGAGATATGCAGACGATACAACTTTGCTTGCTGAAAGTGAGGATGACTTGAGGCACTTACTGATGAAGGCTGAAGAAGAGAGTCTGCAGTATGGATTACGTTTCAATATAAAGAAAACAAAAATCCTCCCAACTAGACCAATGAGCAGCATCACAATAAATGGAGAAAAGATTGAGGTTGTCAAAGAATTCACTTTGCTTGGTTCTACAATCGATGCCAATAGAAGCAGCAGTCAGGGCATTAGACAACGGGTGGCATTGGGAAAGTCAACCGCGAAGGAACTGTTTCAAGTGCTGAGGAGCATGGATGTCTCCTTGAGGACTAAGGTGCAACTGACACAGGCCATGATATTTCCAGTCGCCTCGTACGCATGTGAGAGCTGGAAAATGAATAAAGAAGATCAAAGAAGAATAGATGCTTTTGAGTTGTGATGCTGGTGAAGAATGCTGAGAGTGCCATGGACTGCTAAAAGAACTAACAGATCCATCCTGGAGGAAGTGCACCTGAAATGCATCTTGGAAGTGAGAATGGCCAGACTTTGTCTCACCTATTTTCGTCATGTTTTCAGAAGGGACCATTCCCTGGAGAAGGATGTTATGCTTGGTAGGGTGGAAGGTCAACAAAAGAGGGGGAGGCCTTCAACGAGATGGATTGACATGGTGGCTGCGATGATGGGCTCAAGTATAGCAGGGATTGTGGGGTTGGCACGGGATCGGGCAGTGTTTCGTTCTGCTGTGCATGGGGTCGCTATGAATCAGAAATGACTCAAAGGCACCTAACAACAACAACATGTCAGCAAATGGAGGTCCTGAAAGCTTACTTTATCCATATCATTAAGTGTAGTTCTATGCTGATGAGGCAGCTCTTTCTCAGTTGTATTTTGAGTGCCTTCTAAATTAAGGGGCTTGTCTTCCTGCACTGTATCAGACAATGTTTCTAGGCTATTCATAAAGTTGCCCCAGTAGTGTATCAGACAGTGTTTCTCTGCTATTCATAAGGTTTTCCTTGGCCAATTATTTGAGAAGTGGATGGCTTCTTCCTTCTTCCTAGTCTGTCTCAGTCTGTAAGCTGTGTTGAAATCTGTGCACCATAAGCAACACTACTTGTGTTTGAAACACCGGTAGCACAGCCTCAAGCCTCACAGCAATGCACAAGCCACCACAGGATGACAGAATGACAGACAAGTTCATCTCCCTTAGCTATTGGAAAACTCTCTGCCCTCCTCTTCTCTGATTCCTACTTGGCTCCTGCCACTTTTGTCATCTGTAGCGGCATTCCCTCCCTTTCCTGCCTCTGGGGGTGGGTTCTCTCTGCTGCTCCTTACATGGCTTCTGCCGTTTCTGTTGTCCCTGGTGGCATTCCCACCCTTTACTGCCTCTGGGATGGGTTCTGTCTGCCTGAAGTGTCTCTGGGTGGGTTCAAACGGCCAACCTTTCAGTTAGCAGTCAAGTGCTTAACAGTCTGCACCATCAAAGGACTCCATAAAGTTACTAAAGTCACTCTATTCTCAATTTATTTGTGTCTAAATTTTAATTTATACTCCATCCTTGAGGTGAAATCCTATAATTTGAAACACTGTTTATATTTTATGTTCTGGGTCACTGGCAAAATAATTTCAATGGAAAAAAATCCATATTTTTAACTATACTGAAACAAACAAAAAGGACAAAGGCATGTTTTATACCTAATATAAACACATATGAGAATAAGTGGCCTAATTAGCAAATGCACTAACACAGGTTATCAAGAACAGAAAAGTAGCAAAAGTAAAGTTACAGGTTCCCAAATATTTCGTGAACTTCTCCACATTCAATTTTGGTACAAATCCACAATAAACAATTTATGGCTGGCCCAGTGTGTGACACACCCCTCTTACTCATTGATATCCATTAACATCTGTAGAATACCCTTTGGGGAATCCAGAGACAAAACATCAAGGCATAAAACAATAGGACAAGATCTAATTCCCAAGAAATATTGATTCAGTCCATTATAGAACATGAAGTTTTAGATAGGTTTAAAATAGTTTATAGCTGAATTAAAATATAGTCTCAATATCTTGGTGGTGTAGTGCCTAAGGCATTTGACTGCAAACCAGAAGCCTGGCAGTTCAAATCCACCAGCCCCTCCTCGGAAGGAAGATCAGGCAATCTACTTCTGTAGAGACACTGCCTTGGAAACCCAAGGAGGGGTTGCTATGAGTTGAATCAACTTGATGACAGTGAGTTTCTGAGTTTATCAATATCTTATTTCTTTTAGATAAGGCAGATTGAGGTGAGGAGGGGTGAATAAAGGTTAAACTCACTTCAGGGTCTCCAGTGACATCTGTAAATTGTAGTTGCGTTCCTGTTCAGGCAGCTTGGAGAACTCTACTAAGCACGGGTGTTGTCTCTTGTTGTCATCTCTAACCTGAAACAGGACCAACAATCAGTATACAATAGTCTCTAATGACATACACCAGCAAATGTAATCCAAATCAATATCACATGGGAGATGAAGGTGGAAATCAAGAACAAAAACCAGATCAGCACCCCAGAAAAACCTCTATAATCTCCCAGATGCAGGTAAAATTCGAGGTGAAGGGTAAAAATGAGCATTACCTGCCTTCTCACCTGTGTTCTTTTATTTGCACAGTTCATGAACCACCTTCCTTGGGCCTTGGTAAGCACAATATACCCATATGGTTGAATGTCTCAGATCCTTCCAGCCTTTGCCTAGATCTCCATTAGGTTTATTCTGCTTACCTACCCTAGTCTTTTTTTTTTTTTTTTCTGTATAATACAATAATCACCTTTTAACTGTTTAGATCCTTATTTATTGTGTTACCTGTGGTGCAAATGGTTAACTTCCTCAGCTGCTAATGGAAAGGTTGGATTGGAGTACACCGAAATGCTCTTCTGAAGAAAGTCTGATGATCAAGTTTTGAAAAATTAACCACTGAAAACCCTAAATAGCATAGTTCTACTGTTTTTGTTTGTTTTCCATACTAGATTGTTAAGATCAAAAGAGCAAGGACTGTGGTCTTATTCTTTGATATACTCCAAGTGCCTAGGACATGCATCCTGAATGGCAGGCATGCAACAAATTTTCTGTAACTTGAAATGAACTCTGTATCAGACGGCTATGCTAATGACTTAATTTTACTTTGTAATGATTTTTATGTCTAAGAGCCAAACTGATGTGAAAATCAATTAACAACATGACTGACTGATGTCAACTGTTTGAGGTGGCTGTGACCATTCACACACTATGAACTACTTCATGTTCTCATAAACACTCCATGACCTTAACAAAATTTGTTAGCATAATACAGGCATTTTTTCATATTAACCCTTGAAAGTATATATTAGTAATCAGACTAAATTCAAAATTTTAGGTATGAATTAATTAGAAAGATGTTCTATTTCTTTCTATTATCAATTAAGTTTGCTTTTTTCTTTTAAATCTTCTTATAGACCTAAATTGCATAAGCATTACTGTGGTAACGTCACTTAGATGACAGCCATATGCTGTCAAGGAACACATTATGAGAATAATTACTAGGTTCTATAAATGCTACATACAAAGTTTGTAAACATAAGGTTTTGTTTTTCTTTCTTTCTTTTTTTTTTTTTGTAAGAGCCATACGAGGCACACATAAACTGTTATGGAATTGTGACTTCCTCTTGGAGGTTATTATGGCCACTTTGTTTTTCCAAATGTCCTCAGAAGTCATCAAGTTAGAAGTTAAATATTCCTTTCTTTCTAATGATCAGTACAACTGAACAGGACTTTTATAGAAGCATATATACATATATATGTGTGTGTGTGTGTGTGTGTGTATGTACATATATACACATATAGATACATGCAATTCAAATTATAAATGATATTTATAGTTATAAAAGAAGAATAAAAGCTAACTGTGGTAGTTAAGGTTATGTATCTCTTGGCTGTGCCTGGTTTTGAGTGACTGGGCAGCTGGATGTAATGATTCTCCATGATGAGACTGGTAATCAGTGTCATGATGGAATCTGTTATGAGTAGCTGAGTAGGGATGTGGGCTGCTTCCAATATGTAAGAAGAAACTTTGAGAAATGTCTCTGAGCTTTTTGGCATGCTTGGACCCTGTATTTAGCCGAGTCTTCTTTTAGCAGGATGCTGTGTTGTCCGCCAATGCTGGGACTATTTCTTGACTTGAACAAGTAGTTTGCTATGTTGCTTGATAATTTTGGGATTGTGTTATTTTACTTGTCAATCTTGGGATTGTGAGCCTCAGCAGCCAGCAGCTACCTGAGTTAAGAGACACCTCCAGCCCCAGTGGACAAGGTCAAGAGGCAGACCTGAAGCCCAAAGTCAAGGGGCCCTTAACCAGCCCCTAGAGCTGGCACTTTGAACTCAGACTTCTAGTCTCCAAAACTGTAAAAGAATAAATTCCTGTTTGTTAAAGTCATTCACTGTGGTCTATCTGTTATAGCAGCCCCAGACAGCCAAAACACTAACCGTTTATATAAGCCCTGCTAGTAACAGAACCAATTGCTGTCAAGTCACCTCCAACTCATCACAACCCTACATGTATCACAGTATAATCAGGCTCCATAGGGTTTTCAGTGGCTGATTTTTCAGAAGATCACCAGGCCTTTCTTCTGAGGCAGCACTGGGTAGACTCAAACCTCCAACCTTTCAGCTAGCACTCAAATGTGTTACCATTTGCACCACCCAAGTAATCCATGTATTATCTGTTGTTACTTCCTCTTTATTCCATACACTAGAATAAATGACCAATCATCCTTCCAGGGGTCTGAGCTAAAACCAGAATTCTGACCAAATTCCCTTCCCTCTTACCCATATCCCATATTGGAACTCCAAAACAAACACACACACTCAGTGCCGTTGAGTTGGACCTGACTCATAGCGACTCCTCCTTGGGTTTCCAAGGCAGTATCACTTCAGAAGTAGATTGCCAAACCTTCCTTCCAAGGAGTGGCTGGTAGGTTTGAACTGCCAGCCTTCTGGTTAGCAGTCAAGTGCCTTAGGCACTACACCACCAGAATTCCTAACTCCAAAACATCTCCTATAATCATGTTCTCCATCCCCACTACCAGGCACATGGTTGTGAATCTTATCACCTCTCTCACTTGGGGCCCCTCATCCCCTCTCTTATGGGCTTCCTTTCTCTAGCTCTTACACACCACAGTAGAATTTCTCCCTAACACACACACATAAACATTTTTCAAACTCCCTCCCATATATTCTTCAATGCTGTTTAGCCCTTGACAAAATAAAATAATATTCTGCCAAATGCCCCCTGTGACCCTCTGTGTCAAGACTTTCCACCTCTACTCTGCACCACCAGCAAGCACCTGGTCCTTTATCCTCTGGCCATTTTGAACTAATGAAAGATGATTGCAAGTCTTAGCACTTTCCACCTCCATGCCTTCACACAAGTTGGTTCTGTGCCTAAGATACTCTCCTTCTCCATGATTTCTAGCCATGTGTACTCATCCTTCATGTCCCACAGCAAATATTACCTCCTCCAAGAAGTCTTCCATGATTTTCCCAGGAGAGACCTAAATATAACTTCTTCACTCTGTTAACACCTCCACTATAGGCTTAGTTTATTGTCTGTGTGTCTATTATTCAACTGAACTGGAAGCTCCTAAAACCTAACTTAAGGTCCAACTCTTTCCAACTTTGGGTCATCAGCAGCATACAACAAATGTTAAAGGGGCAGAGGAATGACTAAGTGGACTTGCTTGACACTATTCCATAAAATAGACTCCTCGTATAACATTCTGTGGATTATACTTCAAAATCCTTCAAAAGAAAACTTTACCATCATTGTAAAACAATCTTATTTATCATGTTGGGCATAAATTACTCCAAAGAGAAACACATTTGAATAATTCAAATCCTTATTTAAAATTTTAATACATTTATGGAATTAACCCAATTAACAGGCACATACCTTAGTCTAGACATAACTCAAAATGAGAAGAAAGAGTTGCAAATGTTCATTAATAATCAGAATGTAGAATGTACAAAGTATGAATCTAGGAAAACTGGAAGTTGTAAAAAGTGAAATGGAACACATAAAGATGGGTATTCTAGGCATTAGTGAGCTGAAATGGAGTGGTATTGGCCATTTTAAATCAGATGATCATATAGTCTACTATTCTGGGAATGACAAATTGAAGGGGAATGGTGTTGCATTCATTTGTCAAAAAGAATGTGTGTAGTGGTTAAGGTATTTGGCTGCTAACTAAAAGGCCAATGGTTCAAACCCACTAGCTGCCCCATGGATGAAAGATGAGCCAATCTGCTTCCATAAAGATTTACAGCCTTGGAAACCAAATGAGGGTCACTGTAACTTGGACTTGACTTGATGGCAGTGAGGTTTTTTTTTTTTTTTTTTTAAATCCTGAAGTACAATACTGTCAGTGATAGGATAATATCCATATACCTACAAGGAAGACCAGTTAATACTACTATTATTTAAATTTAAACACCAAATACTAAGGCCAAAGATGAAGAAATTGAAGATTTTTTTTTACCAAGTTGTGCCATCTGAAATTGAACAAGCATGAAATCAAGATGCATTGATAATTACTGGTGACTGGAATGTGAAAGTTGGAAACAAAGAAGATGCATTGGTAGTTGGAAAAATGGACTTGGTTATAGAAATGGTGCTGGAGGCCACATGATAGAATTTTGCAAGACCAAAGACTTACTCATTGCAAAGACCATTTTTCATCAACATAAATGGAAATAATAAAAGTGGACATCACCAGATGGAATACACAGAAATCAAATCAACTACATCTGTGGAAAGAGGTGATGGGGAAGCTCAATATCACCAGTCAAAACAAGGCCTGGAGCTGACTGTGGAACAGACCATCAGTTGCTCACATGCAAGTTCAATTTGAAGCCAAAGAAAATGAAAACAAGTCCAGGAAAGCCAAAATACAACCTTAATTATATACCACCTGAATTTAGAGACTATCTGAAGAATAGATTTGAACACCAATGACCAAAGACCAGAGTTGTGGGATGATAAGAAGAACATGATACATGAAGAAAGTAAAAAGTGATTAAAAACAGGAAAGGAAGAAATGAGCAAAATGGATGTCAGAAGAGACTGTGAAACTTCCTTCTTAATATTGAGTAGCTAAATCAAGTGGAAGAAATGACGATGAAAGAGCATTAGATTTAAAAGGGTGGCTTGAGAAGACAAAGCAAAGTATTATAATGAAATCTGCAAAGACCTGGAATTAGAAAAACAAATGGGAACAACATCAAGCTGGAAGAACCACTGATACTAAAGGAAAAAAATCTAAGCTGGACTGAAGGAAGAGGCAAAAAATAAAGCTCCAGGAATTGACAGAATACTCATTGAGATGTTTCAATAAATGGATGTAGTGCTTGAGGAACTTACTCATTTATGGCAAGAAATTTGGAAGAGAGCTAGTTGGTCAACTGGCTGGAAAAGGTCAGTATTTGTGCCCAGTCCAAAGAAAGGTGATCCAACATACTGTGGAAATTATCAAACAACATAATTAATATCTCACACAAGTAAAATATGCTGAAGATAATTCAGAAATGACTGCAGCATTACGTTGACAGAGAGATGCTGGAAATTTAAGTTGGATTCAGAAGAGGACCTGTAATGAGGGATATCATTGCTGATGTCAAATGGATCTTGGTTGAAAGCAAACAATACAAAAAGATGTTTACCTGTGTTTTATTGACCATGCAAAGGCATTCAACTATGTGGATCATAACCAATTATGCATAATATTGGGAAGAATGAGAATTCTAGAACACTTCACTGTGCTCATGAGGACCCTGTACATTGAGCAAGAGACTGTTGTTCAAACAGAACAAGGAGATATTACATGTTTTAAAATCAGGAAAGGTATGCATAAGGGTTGTATTCTTTCACCATACTTATTTAATTTGTATGCTGACAAATAATCCAAGAATCTGGACTATATGAAAAAGAACATGAAACCAGGATTGGGGGAAGACTCAATGACAACCTGCAACATGCAGATGAAACAACCTTGCTTGATTAGAGTGAAGATGACTGAACTACTTACTGATGAAGATTAAAGACTACAGGCTTCATTCAATATGGATTATACTTAAACATAAAGAAAACAAATATCCTCACAACTGGACCAATAAGTAGCATTATGATAAATGGAGAAAAGATTGAAATTGTCAAACATTTCATTTCACTTGGCTCTACAATAAACACCACTGGAAAATGTAGTCAATAACTCAGACATTGTATTGTACTGGGCAAATCTGCTATAAAAGACCTCTTTAATGTGTTAAGGAGCGAAGATGGCACTTATTGCCTCATATGCATCTGAAAGTTGGACAATGAATAAGAAAGACCAAAGAAGAACTGATGTCTTTGATTTGTTTGTTGGTGAAGAATACTGAAAATACCATGGACTGCCAGAAGAACAAACAAATCTGTCCTGAAAGAAATGCAGCCAGAATGCTCCTTAGAAGCAAGAATGGCCAGACTTCATCTCACCTACTTTGATCAAGTTGTCAGAAGGGACCAGTCCCTGGAGAAGGGTATCAAGCTTGGTAAAGTAAAGGGTTGGCAAAAAAGGAGAAGACCATCACCGAGATGGATTCACACAGTGGCTGTAATAATGGGCTCAAGCATAGCAAGAATTGTGAAGATGGCACAGGACCAGGCAGTGTTTTGTTCTGTTACACAGGGTCATTATGAATTGGAGCCAACTCAATGGCACCTAATAACAACAGCCTTAGTCTAGAATAATAAAGAGGATAAAGTCAGGAATCATAACTTCTTAACTAAAAGGAATGTTAGGGATGGTCTGGTAAAAGAAGCAGGATGCAATTTCATAGAGTAGGTAGAAGAATGATGGGAAATCATCTACATATTAATTTGACTTTCCCAAACTGCTGATTCTGATATAGTACCTAGAGTTGCACTTGCCCAAAAGGGTCCCTGAGAAAACAACTGTTGGATTCCATCAGAAATATTTATTAAGCACATAAATGCACATTCACTGCACCAGGAAAGGTGCTGCAACAACCACCAAGTGTTTATTTCTTCCTATCCACCCCTTGAGGCATAAAGCCCAATGTTGCTTAAATGAGCCTTGCACCAGAAGAACATTAACTTGAGGTAACTTGTGGGAAAGATGACCCTGAGGCACCATATTAATCACAGCAGGAATGTAATATATGGTATTAAACTGAACTGTATTTAACTGGTAGAAGGGGTAATAACGAGACCTTATACTTCCCTCATTTTTAAAAGAAAAAACATAACTAAGACTTCCCTGCAGAACAATCATTTAGACTATCTTAGGGGCTTAACAATAGTAATAATTTTATCTGAGCACAAGCCCGGTATAGCTGTTATTATATACTTTTTTTTTTAATCAGAATTATTTTTTAATCACCCGGTCTGTAATAATCTTTCCCTCATCTTGAATCTTATGTTGAATTTTCTGTGTGATTCATTTGGCATTTAATTCTGTAGACATTTAGAGTCCCTTTTCTCTTTTTGACTTTGATAGTTAAATAATTTAACAGTTTTACATTTCCTCAATATTTAAGAGTCAATGAGCACAAAATTAGGTACTTAATAAGTATTTCATAATTTGATAAACATGTAACTATAATTTAATTAATAAAAATATACCATTTTATGACCACAACTCAACAACCACCTTACAATTTACCAAGTCTGATAATAAAATATAGGACTTTCAGGGTAGATTAAATATTTAAGTGCTTGGCTACTTCCAAAAGATTGGCAGTTAGGATTTTCACAAAGGTATCTCACAAGAAAGTCCTGGCAACCTTCTTTGGAAAGGTCACAGCTATGGAAAACCCTGTGAAACACAGTTGTACTCTGAAGCACATGGAGTATCATGATGGCAAATGGTTTTCTGGCTTTTATAGTGAAACACAGTTCTAGACTAGAAGTTAGACAACTTGGATTCCAGATAGATTGGCCACTTATTAGCTGTGTGACTTCTGTTAAGACATTTAGCAACTATTTAAGAATTCTCAATGGCACTATTTCCAGTGGAACTGAAATAATAAGATATACTTCAGTATGCTACTATGAAAATTTAACCTAACAATCTGCATGTGATAATGTATGTGAGAATGAAAAGCACTAAACAAATACATAAGCACCACTGAGAAGTATGGAGTATAATATGGTATTAACACTAATAATAAATGGTCTTGATTGAGAGCCTAATACAATAAATTATTACCTGGCTGAAAACAAGAATTTCTATATTCAGTCAAGGATAATAAAGTACTACAAGCTTTGTAATAATTAGAGTAACAGTGCTATAAAAATGAAAGTGTTGCCATGGTTCTTGATAAAAACAGGTATATGATACACTGGGATTAAGGCATTTTTTAGAAAAATAAAAGTTTTAGTGACAAATCATAAACAAAGATCTCAACAAATGATCATTTGAACTCAATAATGATTTCTCAGTCTGTCTTATAGCTGTGGGATCAACTGTATATCTTTGTCTACAGGAATTGGACAGCTACCTAAAATTGGGCTAAAAGAAGTGAAAAACCAAGAGTAAGAAAACTAAATCAACTTATTTATTTCCATTTTCAGGTTTAACTTTTAATATCAATGAGATTTTTTAAAGTGATTTAGAAACTATGCCTATTGCTCATCTATGTTAAGTTTGATTTGAAAATATAAGTTTCACACACAACACAAATCATTTTTAACCTTCAATGAATTAATCAATAAATCCATGAAGAAATCTGCACAAAAAACTATCAACCCAATTGATTCATGCCAACACACAGCGGGATGAATAAGTTATGTTTTCAGAAAGATGTGCTGAAGGAATCTGAAAATAAATTTCAAAATTGTATACCGGACCATACTGCCAGCCAAGTTCTATTTTATTCATAACCCAGAGTTCATGGATATTCTCTGCGAGTTTTTCTCTTATCCTTTCCAGGTGAGGAGGCAGCACAATCTAAAATTAAAAGGAACACAAACAAAAATCACATTAGAAACAAATCCAATAAAATGCAGTGAAAATTGTCCTCACCATGAATTTAATTAAATAAAATCATCTCCTAAACCATTAAAATGTAAAAATATACCTACTTTCCAAGCCATCTATTCTATGAAATTTTTTAGATAATAAAATCTGAGACTATTTTGTTTTCACACTTTGCCAGGAGAATATATCAACAGAACAGAAGTTAGAAAGCAGGAAAACAGAGCTGATGGGGACAACTGAAAGACGTTTAGTGGACTAACAAAATGGGCATTTTTAAAAAAGAAAACTTGTCTCAAAGCTCTTAAACTAACCTGGCCAGCATCCATAGGCTAGGGTGAAGGCAATTCAGTGTCCAAAGTATAATGCACTAGTTCTTTGAAATTATAAATTTCAATTGCTTCTCTCCTCACCTATCTGCCTGCAGTGACTGAGGTTTTCCTAACTCTACTTTTTTCCTTTTAAAAACCAGGTGCCATCAAGTTGACCTTGATCCATGGTAGACCCATGTATGTCAGAATAGAATTGTGCTCCACAGAGTTTTCAATGACTGATTTTTCAAAAGTAGATTGCTAGGCCCTTCCTCCAACAAGCCTTTGAGTAGACTCAAATCTTCAACCTTTCAGTTAGAAGCCAAGCACACTATTTGTGCCACCTAGGGATTCTACGTTACCTTTAGTGGTTTCTAAGCACACGAACCAAGGAAATCATCTTTATATGTTCTAATTAAAAGGAAGAAGTGAAATGGCTTCTTCATTAAGAATACAAATTGGTTTTCAAGGTGAAGCGTTGTTTGTTCCTGTCTTGATAATGTCCTTGTGTTTCACTCCATAGCTATCACCTTAGCAACTGGAGGGAACAGATGACTATGATGCCCACTGATGATGTGGTATTTCCTGAGGAAGTGGTTATCACTGCTTCTCTCCTCACCTACATCTCATTTAATCTTAAATGTCCTACCACTGCATAATCCAATTGTCTCCATTAATCCATGCTGATCCTCCCAATCGAATCTACTAAAAAAATAACTTAGTTACTAGTATATGTCTTGTCCTTTTCAGAAATGGACAAAACAAACTGACTGCTGTTTTTAGGTGTTGTTGAATTGATTCCAATTCATAGTGAATCTACTAAAAAAAAACTTAGTTACTAGTATATGTCTGGTCCTTTTCAGAAATGGACAAAACAAACTGACTGCTATTTTTAGGTCCTGTTGAATTGATTCCAATTCATAGTGATCCATGTTCAATAGAGTCAAACACTATCCAGTCCTGCAACATTCTGACAATTGTTGCTGTGTTTAGCCCATTGGTGCAACCCTCTGTCGATTCATCTCATTGTCATTTGCTTTTTTGCTGACCTTGTACTTTACTAAGCTTGAAATTCTTCTCTAGACACTGGTCATTCCTGATAAAATATCCAAAGTGCTGGAGATAAAGTTTCACCAGCCTTGCTTCTAAGGAGCATCTGGCTGTACTTCTTCCAAGATGGACTTGTTCATTCTTCTGGCAGTCCACAGTATATTTAATGTTCTTCACCAGCACCATAATTCAAAGACATCAATTCTTCCTCAGTCTTCTTTCTTCATTGTTCAGTTTTTACATGCACATAATGCAACTGAAAATACCATGGCTTGGGTCAATCTTTAATTCATTACCAAACTTTTGGACCTCTTTACATGTGTGAAACAAACAAATCAAAAAAGAAAAATGTCTAACATTTGTGAAGTAATATGCTAATATGCTACCTATTAACTATGTGAACCATACTATTAGCATCTCAATTGATAAGGTGAATAACTTTCCCAGCATTCCAAAGTAGCCATTTGATGCTAGGCATGTTTACTCTAGAGTCCATGACCTCAGTATCTACCCAAGATAAAGATCAGCTAAATCATTTCAAAATAATTAATGTGTCTAGAAGAAATTAAAAACTCCAAATATACTGTATATAAAGACTATCTTAACATGAGTCTTAAACAAGTAAAATAAGTATTAAAACCACTCCATGAAAGCCAAAGTGTGAACCTAAGTATATCCCACCTGAATAGTAAACACAGAGAGGAAGTGGTATGAGTTCTGCTACATTGCAGGGATTGCAATCAGTGCCATGAAACAAAATTTATATGAATTGTTGAATGGAAAATTGGTTTGACTAGAGGAGTTGTGAGATGCCTTCAAGGGACATTACACATTAAGAAAGCAAAAGGTCATTAAGAAGACAAGAAATAAAGAAAAGACCAAAATGAATGTCAGAATAGACTCTGAAACTTGCTCTGAAATGTAGAAATGAAGATGGAAGAAGCTGAACAGAAGATTTCAAAGGAGAGCTTGAGAACTCAAAGTATTATAATGGAATGTGCAATGATCTAGAGTTAGAAAACCAAAAAGAAAGAACATGCTTGGCACTTCTCAATCTGAAAGAAATGAAAGAAAAAAGAAAGAAATTAAACTCTTGAATTGCAATATTGAAAGATTTTATGGGAAAATAATGAATAATTCAGGAAACATAAAAAAAAAAAAAGGATTGAGGGAATACACAAAGTTATGGTACCACGATGAACTGATCAACGTTCAACCATTTTAGGTGGTAGCATATGATCAAGAACCAATGGTATTTAAGAAACAAGTCCAAGCTGTACTGAAGGCATTGGCAAAAAAAAAAAAAAAAAAAAAACCTTCACGAATTAAAGGAATACCAATTGAGATATTTCAACAAATGGATGCAATGATGAAAGCAGTCACTCGTCTTCCCAAAGAAATTTGGAAGACAGCTACCTGACCAACCAACTGAAAGAGATATATATTTGTGCCCATTCCAAAAAAAGATGATACAACAGAATGCAGAAGTTACTGAACAATATCACTGTTGTTGTTGTTGTTATGTGCCGTCGAGTCGGACCTGACTCATAGCGACCCCTCCTTGGGTTTCCGAGGCAGTATCACTACGGAAGTAGATTGCCCCATCTTCCTTCCGAGGAGTGACTGGTGGGTCTTCTGGTCAGCAGTCAAGTGCTTTTAGGCACTATGCTACCGGAGCTCCAACAATACCACTAATATCACTTAAAACAATGCCATTAGTATCAATAAATTTTGTTGAAGATAATTCAAAGCTTTGCAGCAACAGCGAACCACGTGATTTTCAAGCTGAACTCAGAAGCACATGAAATGAGGAATAGCACTACTGATGTTAGATGGATCTGGGCTGCAAACAAAGAATACCAGAAAGATGTTTACTTGTGTTTTATTGCCTATACAAAGGCATTAGACTGTGTGGATCATAAAATTATGGATAACATGGTGAAGGATGGGAATTCCAGAACACTTAATTTTGCTCATGCAAAACAACCACCCATCCTAGAGGCAGAAAGGCAAATTTGATTACCACCTGAACAAAGAGGCAGTTGTTCAAACATAACAAGGGGATACTTGGGCTATTCATGCAGATGATGATTCTCTTTTCCTCTTCTGAAGTTAGGGAAGGTCAGATACCTCCCTCACACCATTTTTATACATTTTGAAGAGGTCCTTTGTGGCAGATTTGCCCAAAGCAATATGCTATCTTCTATCTTGACTACCGCTCCCATGGGCATTGGTTGTGGATCCAAATAAAATTAAATCTTTGACAACTTCAATATTTTCTGCATTTACGATGATTTTGATTACTTATCTACTTGTAGAGATTTTTGTTTCCTATATGTTGAAGTGTAATCCACACTGAAGGCTTCAGTCTTTGATCTTCATAACTAAGTGATTCAATATTCTTCACTTTCAGCAAGAAAGATTGTGTCATTTGCATATTATAAGTTATTAATGAGTCTTCTTCCAATCCTGATGCTGCATTCTTCTTCATTTAGTCTGGTTTCTCAGATTACTTGCTCATCAGACAAACTGAATAAGTATGATGAAAGGATACAACGCTGAGACACATTTTTCCTGATTTTAAACTATTCCCCTTGTTCTGTTTGAACAACTGATTCTTATAGGGGGAGGTCAGACATGCCACCACCCTCCAAACTTTTTAACATTTCTGCCAACCTCCAAACTTTTTACCATTTCTGACACCAAACATCCTTCCTACATCCCTCATATAGCACTCTCTACTTTTCAGGGTTTGATAATCTACCACAATGGCCACACAGGATTCACATAAAATACTCACAATTACTCAGTTTACTACAGAAGTAATAAGTTATAATTCAGGATCAAAAATTACTCATGGTGCAGATCTTGGATTGGGACAGATTCTTGGCTGTGCCCAATAGGCATGCCTCTCTGGCCCCCAACCTTTTGGCCCTATGGCTGCTTGGCTTCTTTCCTGCTTGAGCAAGTTTTACAAAGTTCTTGTAGCCCTGCTGTTAAGTGCCCAGAGGCATACCACTCCACCAGTAAGCCTCGAGCTATAGCTCTATATGTATGCAAACTTATGTTCACAAGGTACCCAGAGACCCTCTGCACCTTCTCCATCTGGTCTCCTGGTTCTGCTGCCTCTGCTGCCACTGCTTCTCTGACACCGCTTCTCACTTTCTGGCTGTCTCTCTAGTGTTAAGAGTTTTTACTGGCTCCTGGGTCAAGAAGGCTCCCTGCACAGGACCTGGATCCAGAGGAAACACTCTTCTCCTGTCTCTTCTTGGTGGTAATCAAATTTGCCTTTCTGCCTCTAGGATGGGTTGTTGTAAGCCTAGCAAGATGGGAAAACTGACCAATTCCCACATTAGGTTCCATACACCTTATTTGCATGATTCCATCCCCACAAGAGTATCATGCACCTTATCTGCATCATTAACAAGCTGTGCAATCTCCTTGGTGCGCCACAAGCATCACACATTAGCATAGTTCCACTCAGTCTTTTGGTAGGAGTTATAGAGACTGTGGCTAGAAGGGCCATATTAAGTAACTCACTGCACCATAGGGTATTAAAAAGCAAAGATGTCACTTTGAAGACTCAGGTGCACCTGCCACAAGCCATGGTATTTTCAATCATCTCTTATGCATGCAAAAGCTGGAAAATGAAAAAGACTGAAGAGGAATTATGCTTTTGAATTATGGTGCTGGCAACAAATATTAAATATACCATGGACTGCCAGTAGAATAAATATATTCTTCTTGGAAGAAGTACAGTCAGAATGCCCTTTAGAAGCAAAGATAGCAAGATTTTGTCTCATGTACTCTGGACATTTTATCAGGAGGAACCGGTCCCTGGAGAAGGACATATGCTTGGTAAAATAGAAGGTAAGTGAAAAAGAGGAAGACTCTCAAAAACATGTATTGACAGACTGGTTGAAACAATGAGCTCAGATATAGCAAAGATTGTGAGGATGGTGCAGAACTGAATAGTGTTTTGTTTTGTTGTACATGGGGTTACTATGAGTCAGAACTGACTCAACAGCACCTATTAACAAAAGTAAGTATGTACTTCATCTATGCAATATTACTTAAAATATAATTTTCCATCCCAGATATTAAATCATCTTAAAGTTATGGCATGATTCAAAATGAGACAACACAGCTGCAAACATCCATTTATAATTAGAAGGTGGAATGAAAAATGTATGACTCTAGGAAAATTAGAAGTTCCCAAAAATGAAATGGAATGCATACAGGTTAATACCCTAGGCATTAGTGGACTGGTATTGGCCACTTTGAATAGGACAATCATATGGTCTGCTATACCAGGAATGACAAACTAAAGAGGAACGGCATCACATTCATCATCAAAAAGGACATTCATGACCTATCTTGAAGCACAATGACATCAGTGACAGGATAAGACCAGTTAATATTACTGTTAATACTGCAAGGAATACTTGTATTCCAGTTAATACTATAAGGAAGACCAGTTAATACTACTGTTATTCAAATTTGTGCACCAACCACTAAAGCTCAAGATGAAGAAATCGAAGACTTTTACCAACTTCTGCAGTCTGAAATTGACCAAACATGCAATCATAGTTTATTGATAATTACTGGTTATTGCAATGCAAAAGTTGGAAACAAAGAAGAAGCATTTGTAGTTGGAAAATATAGCCTTGGTGATAGAAATGGCACTGGAGACTGTATGATAGAATTTCGCAAGATCAATGACTTTTTCATTGCAAATACATTTTTTAAACAAAATAAATGGCAACTATACACATAGACCTTGCCAACTGGAATACACAGAAATGAAATCAACAACCTCTGTGGCAAAAGGTGATGGAAAAGCTCAATGTCATCACTCAGAACAAGGCCTTTAGCTGACTGTGGAACAGGTCACCAATTGCTAATATGCAAGTTTGAATTGAATCTAAACAAAATTAAAACAGGTCCATGAGAGCCAAAATACAAGCTTGTGTACATCCCACCTGAATTTAGAGACCATCTGAAGAACAGATTTGACACACTGAACACCAATGACTGAAGACCAGAGGGACTGTGGGATGACAACAAGAACATGAAGAATGGAAAGGTCATTAAAAAGGCAGAAAAGGAAGAAAAGACCAAAATAAATGTCACAAGAGACACTGAAACTTTGTCTTGAACATAAAGTAGTTAAGATGAATGGAAGAAATGATGGCATAAATGAGCTGAACAGATTTCAAAGGGTGGCTCGAGAAGATAAAGTAAAATACTATAATGAAACGTACAAAGGCCTTGAGTTAGAAAATCAAAAGAGAAGAACACACTCAAAATTTCTCAAGCTGAAAGAATTGAAAATTCAAGCCTTGAGTTGCAATGCTGATGGATTCTATGGGCAAAATATTGACCAATGCAAGAAGTAATAAAAGAAGATAGATGGAATATATAGAGTCACTATACCAAAAAGAATTAGTCAACCTTAAACCATTTCAAGAGGTAGCATATGATCAAGAATTGATGATATTGAAGGAAGAAGTCCAAGTTGCACTGAAGGAATTAAAGAAAAAAAAAAAACCTCCAAGAATATTTATTATTTCAACAAATAGATGCAGTACTGGAGGTACTCACTCATTTATGCAGGAAATTTGGAAGACAACTACCTGGCAAACTGACTGGGACAGATTCAAATTTGTGCCTATTCTAAAGAAAGGTGATCCAACAGAATATGGTAATTATCAAGCAATATCATTCATATCATATGCAAGTAAAATTTTGCTGATGATAATTCAAACATGATTGCAGTAGTAGATTGACAGGGAACTGCCAGAAATGGAAGGATTCAGAAGAGGATGTGGAATGAGGGATATCATTGCTGATGTCAGATGGATCTTGGCTGAAAGCAAGGAACACCAGAAAAATGTTTACCTGTGTTTTGTTAACTATGCAAAGGTTTTTGACTATGTGGATCATACCACATTATATACAGCATTACAAAGAACAGGAATTCCAGAACACTTAATTGGGCTCATGAGGAACCTGTACATAGAACAAGAGGTTGTCATTCAAACAGAACAAGGGTATACCATTTAAAATTAGGAAGTGTGTGTATCAGATTTGTATCCTTTCACCATACTTTTTCACTCTGTATGCTGAGCAAATAAACCAAGAAGCTGGACTATATGAAAAAAAATGCGGCATCAGGATTGGAGGAAGACTCATTAACAATCTGCAATAAGCAGATGACACAACTTTGTGTTCTGAAAGTGAAGACAGTTTGAAGCATTTACTGATAAATATAAAAGAATACAGCCTTCTGTATTGATCATACTTCAATATAAAGAAAAAAAAAAGTCCTATCAAATAGACCAACAAGCAATATCATGATAAATGGAGAAAAGACTGATTTAAATGGTCAAGGTTTTCATTTTACTTGGATCTACGATCACTGTCCAAGGAATCAGTAGTTAAGAAGTCACAGGACACAATGCAGTGGGCCAATATGTTGCAAAAGACCTCTTTAAAGTGATAAAGAACAAAGATGTCATTTTGAAGACTCAAGCCATAGTATTTTCAATCACCTCATATGCATGTGAAAGCTGGATAATGAATAAGGAAGACTGAAGAAGAATTGACACATTTGAATTATGGTGATGGCAAAGAATATTGAAAATACCATGGACTGTCAGAAGAGCACAGAAATCTGTTTGGGAAGAGGTACAGTCAGAAACCTTAGAAGCGAGGATGGCAAGATTTCGTGTCATGTACTTTGGTCAGGTTGTCAGAAGGGACTAGTCCATGGAGAAGGATATCATGCTTGGTAAAGTAAAGGGTCAGCAAATAAGAAGAAGACTCTCAAAGAGATGAACTGACACAGTAGTACGACAATGGGCTTGAGCATAGCAACTATTGTGAGGATGGTGCAGGACCAAACCTGTTTTGTTCTATTGTACAGAAGGTGGCTATGAGTCAGAACTGATTGGACGGCACCTAACAACGACAACAATAACAAAATTGTTGCACCTTAAAATTACTCGTATAATTATGTCACTTAGTTTCACCTGTTGCTAATATTGCCCATTTAGAAATAAGTGATATAATATGCATATTAATATCACATTTTATAAATATTAACTTTTTAAAAACCTTGAACACAAGCAGAGCAGTGTTTTTAAGACTTCAGATTGTGACCTGCTAGCATAGTGCCTATGGCACTTGACTGCTAACCAGAAGGCTGGTGGTTCAAACTCACCAGCCACTCCTTGGAAGGGAGGTTGGGCAATTTACTTTAGTAGTGATACTACCTCAGCAACCCAAGGAGGGTTCACTATGAGCCAGGTCCGACTCGATGGCACATAACAACAATAACAACAACAGCAGATTATGAAATCAATTTAATGGGTTGGAATCACCCATTGAAAAAGTAAAATAGAATACAGATAGAGGAGTGGACATGGTAAGGTGGATATTATTTTGTGAAACTTGTTTCATTTATACATGTGAAATGTATTACTATAAAATATCTTTCTTGGGATTGCAGTTTAAAACCCTGTAGAGCCACTGCATATCAGAATGATTACAGCACAGTTTGTTGCCTTTGGAGTTGATCTAGGTACCTGGCTAGTATCCACAGGAATCGGTGTGAAGGCTGCTTGTGTCAGTGAAACTGTGGGGCCCAGCAAGTCTCGTGTGTATGTTCTTTCTTGCTTGTACTCCCGGCTGTGTTCCACCTTCAACTTTTCTTTTGGCAAAACAGCTTCATAGCAAGGAGCATATCCAGGTGGAGGAAGGAATTTAAATTCTCCGTGTCTCCCCCCAAGCAGAAAGCGTACCCTAAAAAAGATGCATATAAGACATACATAAAGTTCCTAATCCTCAAAAAAGAAGAATAAATTCTTAGTACAAATAAATTTTATGAGAAGTCATATAGTCTTCCCCTGGCATTATTATCTCATCACTTTAGAATTTAAGAGCTTCTCATCATAAAATGTAAAACCTGAGGTCATCCAACTGGTCAAAAGATAAAACCTGATTAATTTAGGTTAATGGATGAAAGAAACTTATCACCCACTGAAAAAAAAACAAATAAATGCATAAGCATCATATTTCTATGTGAATTCAGCACATGTTCATAGTAAATGCCCCAAGGTGTCAAGTAATCAACAGAGAATGTGCAGACATGCTCTAACTTTAAATATACTTAAAATTGAGGGGCTGGACTAGGTGTAGTAAAAAGAGACAAGTTACTTTTCAGTGTCCATTTCCTAATGAAATTCTTGAAGGGATACTTAAATGGACTTTGATTTGCTGAAGAAAGAAGGTTAACCATGGTTCTTATTCTTTATCAATTTAACAAAAATAATTTTGTTTAAATCTTTTATATATCATAAACATTTAATTGAAAAAAAATTAATCTGAATTCCACTGAACCAGTTTTCAACACATAGCTAAATGATAATTCCTTGGGGAATTTATTTGGCCTAGACAAATAATTTGAAACTTCATTTTGTTTGCATCTTTTTTAACTAATTTGTGTTTCAGCCCCAGCATACTACAAAAAAAAAAAAAAAAAAAAAAATTGAAAAAAAAGAAAGTAAAATATAAAAAAGAAAAAGTGAGGAGAAACAAAACTTTAAAACTTTCCAGAAGTTTCTAAAAAGAAACATAATTTATGTAAATTCACCAGAAAAGGACATTGATACACAGATAGCTAGCTAGTGTTTCATGATTATTCTATCCCTTCTTCAATATGGTGTTTCTTTTACTGGGGATTACTCCCTTGAGTATAATAACAATTAACGGATAACCAGAATAAATGGATGGTCAGTAGTAATTAAGGAGCTATTCATGGTAGGTTAATAGATAACATACATTTTTAAATGGCAGAATGGCCCCTTATTATAAAAGATCATTTGTTTATTAAGCTTTATGGAATAGTAAAGAACTATAATTTCCATTTCCCTCTAGCAACATCAAAAAATGAGTTAGAAAAAATCTTCATCTTGACTCAGTTAATCTTAGATAATTTACTAAAGGTAACAGAGAATAACATAGAAAGGAGCCATCTTGACCTGATCAAGAGCAAGAAAACTTAAGTCCTCTAGGAATAAGGGGATTTGGAGCTGCATGGTAGAGCATGAAAAAAAAAAAATCAATATAAGAAAATAAGTGTGTGTGGTTTATAATATTTCATTTACCCTCATTAGATAAAAATGAACTTAAGAAATGTGCTTGAAATATTTCAAGAAGCTGGTTGCAAACAGTTACTTAGCTGTCCACATCTAAGCGGTAGAATCTGTGGACAAAGCATTCAGCGTCCTGAGAATCACTTCTTGGATGAATCATATCTCTTTTCTTAAAGGAACAGGAAAAATGCCCTGTTGACTGATGCCCAGGATTGAGAAACAAAGGTGAGAGAAGGAGCAGTGCTAGCAGTGTGATGCTCTGAGAGTGTGAGCTGTGATAAAGGAACACAGAACAAAAACCAGAAATACTCACTTTATTCCTGCAGAGAAACTAACAACAGGAAAGAAGAGCCCATCAGTGTTGAAATTTTCAAACATTCCTTGAACAGGTTGGCCATTAATTCGGAAAGAGATGCTTGGGGCACTTAGATCTAAACAGCAACTAATGACGTCATCAGTTCTCAACAGGTGTTGATTTGGTGAGCTCACAGTACGAGCAATGCAACCTATTGGGGGGAAACAGTAAGGAGGTAATATATTTTTATGTAAGAGTATCATCTTCAGGGTCAATGTCAAAGATTTGAGTAAGTATTAAAAAATCATTGAACAACACTGGAATTGAATACATCTTGAATGCAAATTGATGATATAGGTTAAACCTTTTGTTTTAAAAAATGTTGCTTTATTCAGGAGTCATATTTTTGTTGTAAAATGGATCTTTTGACATACAAAAATTTTTGCATGCATTTAATGCAGAAATAATCTTAGAGTAGAAAATGTAATAATGTAAGGAGAAATCGCCCTAGAAAGATACAGCTATCTTACTATCTATTAATTTTATGACCATCAGTAAATTACTTAATATCTTTGAATCTTGATTTTCAATAAACAAGACACTAAATATCATCTCCTTGTAGATTTCTTAAGAAGAATAACCTAGTGGTTTACAAGTAGCACAAAGTCTCAGACAGAACAGATACTTCATAATGTTAGCCCCTGTTTCTAATACTAAATCCTCTTTCTGCTATAAATTAAAAATATTTAAGGATAATGAAAGCAGAAAATGTGGTAATTCCTTCATACATTGTTTATTTAGACAACTATATGGCAACTGGTTTGTTTTGATTTGCAATTAAGGTTCTGACAAAAGACCTAGTTTGGCATCTTAATTACAGCAGAATAAATCTGAGGCAAGAAAATGCTATTTGATAAAACTAATTTCTTGCCCTGGCCCCTTTATGGTCTGAGCCCATTCTTGAATATATCAGCACTGCTTTGCTAATTAGTCTCATGAGAATCTACAGTAGAGACAAAAGAGGGTAATGATGTCTTAAATACATTCACAAACAAACACAACTATGCCCTTTGCTGTGAATCATGACAAAAATAGATTTCATGATAGTAGCTTCTCATTTTTTATAACATCACTTTTTACTTCCAGTATCCAAGATATTTACTCCTAGTATACTTTGAAATGTCAGTAGTAGAGAATATCTACCTTTCAGAATGTATACACTTTTTAATTCATTAATATTTAAAATTGCAAGTAATAAATTCATTATCAAGTGTCTCTTCTAGAAGTCTCTAAATATGACAAAGACAGCTTTTTAAAATATTTAAAATTTTCCCACAGCCAGCTACCCAGAACAAGGGAATAGTTGAACCTGTGGGCTAGGGACCATAGTCGCAGGGGACATCAAGCTCAATTGGCATAACATACTACACAAAACATTGTTCCACCTCCTACTTTGGTGAGTAGTGACTGGGACCTTAAAACTTTACAAGCAGCCATTTAGATGCAACAATGGGTCTCTCCTCCAGAGCAAAGAAGAATGTAGAAAACCAAAGATTCATGAAACAATTAGTCCAAGCAACTGGTACACCATGTGATCCTCAGCCTATACGACTATGAGACCATAATGAGATGGTGCCCACTGTTAACCACTCGGAGGGGGATCTATGTAGAAGATCCTGGATAGAGAGGGAAAACAATGTGGAACAAAACTCAAAATAATTTGGAAAAAAAAAAAAAGGTTTGCTGGTCTGATAGAGCCTGGTGGAACCCCTGAGTCTATGGCCCCTAGCTGCCCTTCAGGTCTGGAATTGAACCCACACCTGTGGCTTCCAGACAAACAAAAGATGGCATACAACTTGAACATTTTCCTGAGGTAAATACCTTGGAGAGAACAATCATGGGAGAAAGAAGGGCTCTTTATGCACAGGGAGACAGCTCAGGGGGTAGGAGTGCATGGGGGGATGGACACAGGGAAGAGGTAACTAACTACTAGGAGGATGTGGAAGGGGAGATGTTGCATTGGGGGTAAACTATGGTCAGTGTCATGAGACAAAGTGTGTGAACTGCTGTATGGAAAGTGAATTTGCTCTGTAAACTTTCACCCAAATCACAACTAAAAAAAAAAGAGAAAAAAAATGTAAAACTTATCCAGAAAATCATATAAAAAGGAACATAGCTCCCAGAGAAATGTATATTCCCTTATTGGCATTTGAAAGTGATAAAGATATTATTGCACAGACATTTACTATAATTCAAAACTACTGCCTAGTTTGAAAGCCATTATTATTCTAATGTTAATGAGGATTTAAAAGTTATCATGGTAATTGTTATGTAATGCCTAAAACAAACATAGATAACTAGATAAGATTATTAGTGCACAACCTAAAGCCTACAGTTTGAATGGCAGTTACAGTATTTAATCCATTTAGTAGCATTATCAGGTTGCATTTATATAACTCATATCAAATCCAAATGAGAACTACATTACTATTCTCTACGTTATCGAAAAAGGAAGATAACGATAGTGTGATTTATAGATCCTGGGCTAGAAAGCTGTATCAATATTTTCCAGAACTGTTCTGATATGTCATTTTCCTTTACATTTAAATTTTCTAAAAACACTGAGATTTCACACTTTCAGCCCTTATAGAATCTTGCTGGATATCCAAAATTCAAAATTCAATTCTGTATTCACCCAGAGAGCACAGCAACATTGTGCAAATTTTACAATGGAAAGAATAAATGAAGATGGTGCTCAAAACTTTTTTCAGTGTGCCAAATCCTTATTGAAAAGAACATATCCACCCTCCAGTTACAAAATTTTAAGTGGTAAAGAATATGCTCTCTTTGAAATCACAAATATTTAATACTGTAAATTCTACTTCCACAATTAAAAAGAAAAGGGATAGGAGAATGGCCTTATGAAGATGATCTGAATTACTTTGAATACTAAGGTGACATTCAAGTTAATTCAAATCCAACTAAATTAGATTTGTCTTTGTTGACTAAGAATCTAAAATGAGCAAATCAGAGATGACATCTTTCAACTACAAGGTCACATCAGCAAGGTATAGTGTATATTTTCTAGCCATTAAAAAAAAAAAAAAAAAAGAACAATTGAATACTTTATCTTAACAGTGAAGTATCAAGGTGCTTTTCTCATTGAAATCCAGAATCTGCCATCTTTTCTATGAGACTATTGGGAACTTTAGCAAACGATATGTCTATATAGTCACTGATTGTTTTGTTATTGTTCTGTTTTATGAGATACTTTGCAATGAAAGACATAATGAACACAGTCCTATTCAATCCAGTATTGCACTCTTTCTATGTGTTTAATCAAAGAAATAAATTGACACTGTTTAGGAAGAATTGAATATCTGTTAATGGGGATGGAAAGTTTGGCAATGGATACAGGTGCTTGTTGCACAACATGATCAATATAACAAATGTTACTGAACTGTACATGTAAAAAGTGGAATTGGCATATCTATCTCTATTTCTAGCTATCTATCTATTAAAAAAGATGTATGAAGTTAAAAATGCAAACTAAAGGCAGCAGAAGTGGTGAGACACTATTATATGACTATGATAATTGGAACCAATTCTACATTGTCATATCAGATAAACATTTTCTCTCTTTTTGTGTAAAGGGAAAATAAGTTAACATGCTTCATTTATCAGAGGAACTATTTCATGCTGAGCTATACTAGGAGCTAAAGAAATCTAAAGAACTGTAACAGGATAATGACTGAAGGTTTACAGTTAAAATGTATTATAAAATAGATATCACCCTATTTTGTGTTCTGACATTAGTGCTCTTTGCCTTTGGTAGGCCAATAAAAACACATACTATGGGAATGGGATAGGCACACTCTGACTACCATTGTGTACCTGTAGTCCAAGAGTACACACTACCACACTGAGTCCCAATCATATGCCCCAACTTTTAGATGAAATATTCAAGATAGAGCTTACTCTCTTTTAGACACCTTAGTTATGTGTACTGAATGGGAACCAGTCAGTAAGCATTATTGCTAGATACAACTATATTAAGCATATTCATTAATAAACTCATTAGTGTAAACTGTTAAATACATGCAATTTAAGTTTTAAATGTATTTTATACATCATTAGGCCTACAGTACTAACAAATGAATAATATTACTTGCAAATCAAAATAGACAAAGTTCTACTTTTAATAAAGTAAAATAACTTCCTGAATCTATCCATTAAATGCTTTACAAAATATGTCAAGGTCATATAAGGACTATATTCTAAATGCAACTTTATTAACACAAGAATATTTCTTCAGAGTCCAGATGAATTCCAATATCTAAAAAAATCTACATAATCAAGAGCTAAACCTTTAAATGTAGCCTAAGAAAATACACCTCTTTGTGAATCACAGAACAGAGAATTATATTTTATCAGATTAATTTTTAATATATACTCAATCATCAAAACTGATGACTTCACATTTATTTTTAAGCAGTTCTATGAAACAAAATATTATAAGTTTATGAACTTAGCTTGACTCCTAATATTATGCTTTACAATTTACTCATTTATCACATTATATTATCTAGCAAGAGGATGAACTTAGCCTATTTCTTCCAATTATTTGCAGTGTTTGTTTTTTGCTCTTTTTCAACTAGCAACTAAAGCTATACACACACTAATAAACATAGATAAGAAACACCAAGTTATTTTCTGATTGATTGGAAAACCCTTTTTAAAATATATTTTCATAAGCAATATAATCTTGTGCATCTATATTATAATTGTTTTCTTTTTCCCCTAGTGAAATTTTGCTTTTTATCCAATATAAGCAGCACCATTAGCTTTCAGAAACGTATATCAAGAGCAAAAGATCCCCTCCTAAAACATTGTGAAAGAAAATAGATCACATTTACCTGACCAGAGATGAAGTCCATCAAATCCGTAGGAGAACAGGTCATCTCCAACACCATTTCCACCCCACTCTTCACCACCACCAGGGTAGGGAGAGTACCCTTCAGTAGAAGCCCAGCCCACTCGAAGGTGTGTTGCTTCAGCTGTCACAAATGGTTCAGTGTGGTCCACCATCAATTCATAGTACCATTTTTTGTATTGAGCAGACCCTTCGCTGACGCCCAGAAAAATATTAGGCCTCATGCTTTGAAGAGATATGAATACCATATAAGACAAGTCCAGACAATCTTTCATCATTCTAATTTACATCACACTATTTTGATTACCTAATGCCTAAGGCATTTGACTACTAACCAGAAGGCTGGAGGTTCAAACACACCAGCTACTCCTCAGAAGGAAGACTGGGCAATCTATTTCCATAGAGACACAGCCTCAGAAACAGAGGGAGGGGTTGCTATGAGTCAGAATTGACTCAGCGGCAGTGAGTTCTTTTTTAAGATGTCATACATTAAATATAAAAACCAAAAGAAAAAAAAAAGTTGCCAACAAGTCAATTCTAACTCATGTATGTCAGAGTAAAACTATGCTTCAGAGGGTTTCAATGACTGGTTTTTCAGAAGTAAATTACAGGCCTTTCTTCCAAGGTGCCTCTGGGTAGACCAGAACTGCCGTAAATTTTTCGATTAGAAGCTGAGCATTTAGTCATTTGTACCACTCAGGGACTCTTACATTAAATATATGTTTTCTTAAATGCTACAAAATCATTAAAACAGCAACTAAAATTTTATGCAGTGATATCTTATCTTAGAGTTAACATGCAGTGAGTAATGTTTGCTTTTAGGATAAATTGGCAACAACATTCAAGGACCTAATATTTTTTTAATTATTCTTCAGCATATTTTACATCATCGATCACATTTAAATCATAAAATAGGATACTCAGTACAGTAAGCTATTAGAATTAATGAAGTTATTATAAACTCAGAATGTATAGAAATCTTTCTAAGCTAAACTTTCTTTCCCACAGGGTATGAGGTTGAAGCAAGATAGGCTGGTGAAGGAGCCAAGGTAACAATCATCTGTGTTGTTTCTCAATGTCTCCTGAACAGAAAAACCTTTAATAAGTTGTATTTAGCTGCATTTTATGAGGGAACTTATGCACTTTGGTAATAAGAGGATTAGTAATGTCTCAGGAAATATCATTCATTCATTAATGGCAGTTATAGTATATAAAGAAGCATGAAGAAATTATTAAATCAATCCTGTTTAAAACAAACACAACATGGACTATTCACCAAACTCTAGTTTGTTTATTTATTTATTTATAAATAAACAAACTAGAGGATAAAGTATCAAATATTTCCTGGATTGCTGCTAAATACAGTGGACCAAAGTAACTACTGCCATATATAGCATGTTGTTAATTATAAGCTTTTTTTTTTTTTTTTTTTAGGTATAATAAAAACAGTGGTGTGGTGTTTAAGAGCTAAGTCTCTGGAGTTAGTGACACCTGAGTTCCATTTAGTTACAGATTTTAATGCATAAAATGTGGATAATAATGATACCTAGAAAAGTATAAATTTAAACAGTATATATACATGCAGGGAGCTCTGGTAGCATAGTGCCTAAGGTATTTGACTGCTAACCAGAAGGCTGGAGGTTCAAACCCACCAGCCACTCCTCGGAAGGAAGAGGGGGCAATCTACTTCCGTAACGATACTGCCTCGGAAACCCAAGGAGGGGTCGCTATGAGTCGGGTCCGACTTGATGGCACATAACAACAACAACATATACATGCAAAGCACATAGAATAGTAGGTGGCACACAGTACTCATGAATGTTAAACACTTTGGGAAGGCAGGTATTATTGTCAACCTGCTCCTAAAGATGTCAATTATAATCTATCTACATATACATGTAAATAAATGGCTTTATACGTTTGTTTGTCAGTAAAGCATACTTTGCTTGATTATCTATTGTTATGATTAACCCACCTGATCGGTAGCAAAAATATTCAAATACTCATATTATTTAATGGAAATGATGTAAAATATCCTAATGAAAACAATGGGCTATGTGATGGCACTGACATAGAGACAGAACATGAATTCTTGTGCTGTGTTAATTTGGAGATGTTGTCTATCTGGATTTACCTGCTGACGTGATTCACAAGACGTGTCTGCAATAACAGATCTCTTCCTGGTAGGAGATTATCACAAATGAGATGCTGGTTAGAACGGACTGCAACTCCGTGGCAAACACAGAGAGAACACAAGACATCCAGAACCTGAAAAGAGAGCATTTTGAACTGACTCCAAATCCCCTTTCAGACTTAAGCACAGGTAACACTTTTCTTTTTTCCCTTTTTTTTTCAGTGATCTGTTTATTTAATTCTAAAGCATTTGACACTTCTTGCCTTAACAATTTTAAAAACCATATACACAAAACTCTGTATATTAATTAATAGTTTAGTCCCATTTTGAAGTCTACCCATCCAATCTCTGTAATTATATAGTTCTTTCATTTAAAATATAGTATTTAAATCTAATTTTTACATTTCAAAAATTATCTTTAGTAATAACTGAGTATATTTTCTGTGAAGTTATTTCTAAGAATGTTATGTTTCAGAATGTGAGAATATACACGTATAACTGTATCTTGTGAATTTAAAGTATGTTTTCTGATACTTTGTGTATATACTTGTAAAAATTTTGTATAATTTTGTGACAATGTAGTTCCCCAAAATATTTATTTAAAGAGCTATGTTAATAGTAAATGAAAGTATTTTAAGGAATTGTTCACAGTTTTTGCACTCGCCATTCCAACTGCTTTCATGCCACACATCCACCTCTTCAGTCCTCTGCCAGGAAGCAAGGACCCAGAGGGGATCACTCACAAAGGGGCACTCATTCACAAGGTCTGTGTTTCTGGAGGCCTGGATACATTTCAAAGTAAATTCACTTAAAAAAAAAAAAAAAAAGAGTAACTATTTTAAGCCATCTCAACACTTTCAGCCACTCTTTTGTTTTCATGGTAGGTTTTGGAAAATATCACATTATAAATGCTGATACTTCAAACAGCAGTGTACAAGCATGCCTCAAATGACTAGTTTTTCCTTAAACTGTCTTTTCATAGAAGAATAGAAACCAAACAACAAAAAACACCCAATGTTAAAACCACTGAACAATTTACAAACTTGAAAAATTAGACACTTTAGATAGTCAATAAACTTCATATTACGAAAGCAATATATTCCAAGTCTCAAAGACTTGACAGATTCTGTAGAGTGTCTCTATCTCTCATCAGTAGGTGGCAGCTTTCCAAATCCATGATCTTCTGTCAAGTAGAAGTGGGTGTCATTCACTGGTTTGAGGCTGAAATCCATTTCAAGGTATGTTGTGGTGGTACAGTAATGGTGGGATGGTATAACGCACAGTCGGGTCTTGTACACTGAGTGATAAACCTACAGTGTTTTGGATGATAGAAGGGACATTCCATTTTCTTACAAGCAGGGAAGTAACAGCAGAGCTGAGTGCTAGAAGGGGATGCTGGTGTTATAACTGCTGGTTTTGGAGGCAGTACTGGGATTCTTCTATTATATGTGTTAAGGGGCAATCTGGCTTGGTACATTTTGCACCATATTTATAATTTGGATGAACGAACAAACACTTTTCAGCAAATTTACAATTGGGAAAGGCTTTGTAAGGTGAAATAGGGTGATGATAGGCACACTCATTCCTGTTTTTACAAGTAGGCCAGTACTTGCAGCGCTCCGACAGTTTTTCTGGTTTCTGGGTCACACTCAATTCACTCATCTCAGCTTGACTTTTCTCAATATTATCTTCTTTTCTTTCCTCTTCTTTAATGGGGGAACTTATTCTGGGAGTCCAGCTTTGCCCTGGGACCACTTCTGCTAGCAATTCTTCTTGAGAAGTTCGAGTAGGAGGAGCCACCGGGAGTGTCTGTTTCTGAGGGACTGTAGAATAGTTTGTTGTTTTTGTTACAGATTCTTGAGCTTCATATATAGCCTTCAAAATGAGATTCTTGTTAGCTTGTTTAGAAGGTGGAAGTGAAGGTCTCTGTTCAGGCTTTGCTGGCACTGACACGCTGCTGGAGACACTTCCTGCTCCGGAACCATAATCTTCATCTTCCTCCTCTTCTTCTCCATCATGATTGATTTTTTTTTACTTTAATAACTGAACTTAACCACAGGCAACTTTCTCTTCGAAAGTTTTCTTTCTCAATACTCATTTTCTCTGAACTGTTTCTGAAGAAGGAATTGTAAGTCTTCTCTATGCTGGTAAGCGCCTCTGGCTCACCCAGACATCCCTGTATCACAGACCCGGCTGCTCTGCACTTCCACCTGTTTGGCGGCGTAAACGCTGTTCTGTTGCTGCTGAAACTGCAACTTGCTTAAATGGGCACCACTATCTGCATTTCGACTTAGAGGTGGCCGATAAATTTCGATAGAAGGGTGAGGAGACCCATAGGTGAGCGTCGCGGTAGGTTTTTTCTGAGATAAGGGATTTTCCTGCACAAAGTTGAGATCTTCATCAATGAGGTCATCTGGTTCAGGCTTGCTATCAATCACATCTTCAGAGGGTGCCGGCTCCCTCAGAGGTTTCACTGTTGATACTAGTTGGGTTGCAGCTCCATCATCGTAAGTCTGTCTGACATTAGTGGTTTTCTGCTCCTGTGAACCTACAGACACTCTAGGGTCTCTCTTTTCAGATCTGGTGCTAGACACTGAGAGGGGCGGCACTGCAGTCTGGTGCCTTCTCTCCTCTCCTCAACTGAAGCCACCCTTGTTTAAAGGCACATTACTGTCAAAAATGTTGGTATCAGATGACTTTAGGCTAGACGGTTCAGTTGTAACAGAAAGTAGTTTATCTAAAACACCATGAAGCCATAGGGTGAATCGAATTGTGTTGTTTCCTAGAAACAGGAACAGGTCCTCTGTCATTTGGTCCTGACTTTTCTTGTTGGCCACCATCACCATAATGTAATCAGGAAGTTCTTCATAGTGGTCCTACAGGACAGAGCAGAACTGTCCCATAGGGTTTCCAAGGATATAAATCTTTATAGATTTATAAAGATGAGGCAGACTGCCTCATCTTTCTCCCTTGGAGTAGCTGGTGGGTTTGAACTGTCAATATTTATGAAAATTACATTTTCAACATAAGCTCCTAATACTTGCAATTTCCCCTTTAATGGCACTCCGGGTCTTGTGGCTGATCTCCATGCTGCTCTCCATGTCTCTGGGGCAGATGCTGGCTCTGCACTCCTGGTGTTTTGCTTACCCTGAGCCCCCTGCCGGGTCCACTCTGCAGACCCACTGCCAACGCTGCTGACGCTGCTCCGCCCTCAGCCCAGGTAACACTTTTCAAAAAGCAAGCATGTCCCCTCCAATTACCTTTGAACCAGTAAAATGCCATTTTAACATTACACCAATATACTCAGTTTCCTATTTTCCTTCATATGCAAATTGGGAACCCTTTACCCTCCCACCAATGTTACAAATAAACACTAAGCAGTATTACTTCATCATAATTAATGGGTGAAAAACACTCATAAAAAATTGACACAGATTTTAAAAAGCTGTCTTATGTCAAAAATATTTAATATTAATTGTGATTTCATTTCATGACAATGAGTGGGTCTCTTACCTTGTGATTTCTTCCATGCTTGTCCAAAAGTGAGATAATGGATTTAATATGTCCTTCTTTGATAATATTTAGAGCTTCTGGACTTTCCACTAACACACAGTGTAAAACTTCAAGAATGCCTAAGATAATACAATAAAGGAAAAAAGAAATATGATTATCCAGTCTACATGACCAATTCCTTTCCTTTTTTCACATTCAAAAAACTCCAAAAAATCAAACTCACTGCAATCAAGTTGATACCAACTCATAGCAACCCCTATTGGGTTTCTGAGGAGATAAATCTTTACTGAAGCAGATTGCTCCATCTTTCTTCTGAAAAATGGCTGGTGGGTTTCAACTACAGACTTGTTAGTGGCCAAATACATTAACTATCAGGGCTCATTATTATAATTATGTGCTTTCTGTGTCTGCCACAGGGGCAGTATGATGAGTGATAGGTGCTATTTGAGAGAGAGGGCTGCTATTTAAAGATGATTAACTCAATCTACTGAGAAAATGACACAACTAAAAAACAATGTCTAGCTGAAAAACCAGATAAATCTGCCTGGGGGAAATATGAAAGAAAGGAGTGAATGGACGAAACCTTAACACATGAATGAAATTTTTCTGACATAGTAGAGGGCAGGGCAGTACTGGTTTGAGTGAAGTCTTAAATAGAGGGCAAGTTGTGGTCCCATAGGATGGAGGAATAGGAATAAGATGGCGGAATAGAGGGAAGACCTTCTTCAACAAAGAAAAAGGGAACCAATTAACACAGATACAGAAGATAATTCTGGAGGCCTGAGCTTCGAAGGGAAGGATATAGAAGTGGACTAAACTCCAACTAGCAGAAGAATTTGCCTGAAAACACCAAAAACGGAGACATACGGAGCTGTGATCTGACAGCAATCCTTACGGCACACACAGCTTGGATATTGCCAGTGGTGTTAGGACCTAAGAATTAACCTAAAAATCAGCCCTGCTAGCCAAGGACTGATGAGTGGCTGGTGGATAAAAGGGGAAGCAGTGAAGAGGAAGGTGGGCTGAGCTGTGGACTTTTGCCTGTCTGGAGGGCGCAGCCACTTTGAGTGTTTACAAGCAGTTTCACCATTTTGGATATTTAAAGCTATAGCTTTCTCCCAGATTCCAGGGATTTAAGAATAGATTCTACTTGCCAGGAATCGCAAGGACATTCCAGACACTAACTACTGGAAAGGTGTGATATTACCCTTGTTGCTCTTATACTCCACACCCTCTTGATGAATAGTGGTGAAGCCATCCCTCCCTCCCACCCATCTTCTGGGCTGGCAGGAATTCCATCCTAGTCTCTGTGATCAGACGGAGCCTGGGTACCCTACCCAGGTCTGCTGAGATTTTTCTTTTTAGTCTGTTTGTTTTTGTCTGTTGTAAAGTCATTATTCTTCCCTTCACAGGTTCTAGTTTTCAGCTTTTTCTCTCTTCCCTGTTTCTGGTTCAATATTTTTTTTCTTTCTCATGATTAACCCTATTCCTTGTTTTTTTTTTTTTTTTTTTAATTTTTCCCATTTTTTTCTTCATTATTCTCCTACTCTACCTTTTATCTTTTATTGCCTCTCCCCAGATATTGTGGGTTTTTTTTTTTCCTCTCTTTTTTTTTTGGTTATTGTTCCTGTGTGATTACATGGTGTGGTTTTTGTCCACTTGCTTTTACATTTTTGATGGTTATTCAAATGTTATTATTTTTGTTTAACTGAGTGGGAGACAGTAACAGTGCCCATATGACACAACTATACCCACACCTTTGTAGCTTGATTTAATGAGTGAGAGCCACTACTTCCTTCTCCACCAACTGGCCAATGATAAAGAACCACCAAGAAGAGCCTGACTCACCCTTAGCTGCTCTTCACAAACAGTGAACAGAGATCTAAATACATCAAAATGCCCCAGAGTCAACAGACAATCACAGTCCACACAAAGAAGCAAGATAATGTGGCAGAAACAAGGAAGTAGGACACAGACCCAGAACACATCCGTGAAGAAGAAGCAGTACTGTAACTCCCTCATAAGGAATTCAAAAGAATTATAGGTAGTTATCTTCAAAGGAATGAGAGACAGATCAATGAAAACACTGACAAAATAAAGGAAAACACAAACCAAATCCTAGGACAATTTCAGAAGAAAATACAAGAACAAAATGACAAAATAAATGAAAAATTATAAATGATTCAAAATGTACAGATAGAAATTCAGAAGATTAATACTAAATTCTCAGGAATATATAACACATTGAAAGGGCAAAAGAGTAGAATTGATGCAATGGAAGACAGAATTAATGAGACTGAAACAAATACCTGAATAGTTCATTGGAAAGGGATCAATCAGAAAAAAGATCAAAACAAAATGAAGAAAGCCTAAAGTTCATGTGGGATATCATCAAATGGAATAACCTACATGTAATTGGAATTCTAGAATAGGAAGAGACAAAATAAAACCACTGAAAAAACTGTCCAACCTTTGTTGTAAGAGAACTTCCATGATATGATGAAGGATAAGAATATATCCATTCAGGAAGTTCAATGAACCCCAAACAGGATAGACCACAAAAGAAAACCATCAAGACATATCATCATGAAACTCATCAAAACCAAAGACAAAGACAGAATCCTGAAAGCAGCACGGGAAAAACAGAAAGTTACATAAAAAGGACAACCAGTAAGAATAAGCTCTGATTTCTCAGCAGAAATAAGGCAATGGGATGGTATATATAAAATCCTGAAACACAAAGTTTCACCTAAGAATTATATACATAGCAAAATTTTCCCTCAAATATGATGGTGAAATTAAGAGATTTCCAGATAAGCAGAAATTAAGGGAATTTGTTAAACCAGACCAATCTTACAAGAGATAATAAAGGAAGTCCTTGGAATAGAGAACCAATAATAGCAAACAATCAACCATTAATACACAAGATGACATAACCCAGAAACCACAGCTATGGACATATCCAAAGTAAAATAAGCTTACAAGATTGTAAACAGGTAATCAGAGACATCAATTGGAAAATGAGGACAACTACAAACCAAAGAGCAGAAAAATACTGTGTAGTTACAGAACTTCTAAATGGTGAGGAAGTTAAGAGAGTTGCAAGATAGAATGGATTGTTGTAAACTTGGGAGGAAAATTACAAATCACAGGGTAAAAAAGAAAAAATGATAAACCTTCACATCACAATAAAAAAAGAGGACAAGCATAAATAATTAGCAAATACTAAAACAACAGTAACAAAGGAAATGATAACATGATTCATAAACATAATCAGCTCACCTCAGAAAATTATATGGCACAAAGAAACCAGCAACACCATAAAAAAACACATAACAAAATGACAGCAACCAATTCATACTTGTTGGTAATTACAGTGAATGTTAATGGATTAAATGCACCACTCAAGAGATGGAGAATTGCAGACTGAATAAGAAAGCAAAACCTATCAATATGCTGTCCACAAGAGACACAACTTAGAGACAAAGACAAAAATAGATTAAAAATCAAAGGTTGGAAAAAGAGACATCAAGTAAAGGGCAACCAAAAAAGAGTAAGAGTGGTAATATTAATTTCTGATCAAATTGATTTTAAGACAAAACCAACCATATGAGACAAGGAAGGATGTCATATAATGATTAAAATATCAATTGAACAAGAAGATATAACCATAATAAATATATGTGGACCTAATGAAAGAGACCCAAAATATATAAATTAGACTTTAAAAGAGTTGGAAAGGCAAATAGATGACTCCAGAGTCATAGTGGGAGACTTTAACACACCACTTTCAATGAAAGACAGAACAACTGGAAAGAGACCCACCAAAGATGCAGAACTAAACAAGATCATCCACAAACTTGAACTTATAGACATCTGCAGAGCACTTCACCCAACAACAGCACAATAAACATTCTTTTCCAGTACATATAGAATAATCTACAGGATAGACCTTATGTTAGGCCATAAAGCAAGCCTTAATAAATTTAAAAACATTGAAATACTGCAAAGCATCTTCTCAGTTCATAATGCAATAAAATTAGAAATCAACAATAGGAAGATCAATGGTGTTCTGCTTACCTGGTGCCACTCTGACAAGAATATACCACAAATGGGATGGCCTTAATAAACAGGAGTTTATTCTCTTACAGTTTGGAGGCTTTAAGTCCAAGTTCAAAGTGCCAGGCTCTAGGGGATGGGTGAAAGCCCCTCAACCTTGGGGTCCACCTCTGCCTAGCCACTCAACCAGGCCAGCCAAGTTGACTCACATATACAGCTACCACAAATGGAAAAAAAGCAAACACATGGAAACTGAACAACACCCTTCTTAAGAAAGACTGGGTAAGAGAAGAAATAAAAATGAAATTAAAAAATTCCTTAAGTCAAAATAGAATGAAAATACAACATACCATAATCCTTGGGACACAGCAAAAGCAGTGATCAGAGGCCAATTTGTAGCAATAAATGCACACATCAACAAGAAGAAAGAGCCAAAATCAACACATTAAACCAACATCTCCAACATTAGAAAAATAACAGCAAGAAAATCCTACAGTCACCAAGAGAAAGGAAATAATAAAGATTTCAGCAGAAATCAATGAAACAGGAAAAAGAAAGACAATAGAAAAAATCAGTAAAACCAGAAGTTGGTATTTTGGAAACATTAATAAAATTGGCAAACCACAGGCAAATTTAACAAAGGAAAACAGGGAGAGGATACAAGTAACATCAATAAGAAATGACATGGGCAACATCACAACAGAACCAACTGAAATAAAAAGGGTAATATCACAATACTATGAAGAACTGTATTCCAACAAATTTGAAAACCTGGAAGAAATGGACAGATTTCTGGAAACACATCACTTACTGAAACTAGCACAGACTGACGTGGAAAAGCTGAACAGATCCATAAGAAAAGAAGAAATTGAATAGGTCATAACAAAAAAGGCCCTGGCCCAGACGGTTTCACCAGAAAATTCTACCGAACATTCAGAGAACTGACACCAATCCTACACAAACCATTCCAAAACAGAAAAGGATGGAATCATCCCTAAATCATTTTATCAATCAAGCATAAACTATATACCAAAACCAGGCAAAGACATCACTCAAAAGG